AGTTGAAAGAAAACCCCGCTTTCGAAAGGGTTTCTAATAATTAGTTAATCAAGTCTGGCCAAGCCTCCCTCAACAGTTCCTGATGCAGAACGTACGTCATCCATATAAACGAGTATTCTGTCGTAGTTAAGTTTTTTAAGAGAATTATTTATGACTCTTTGAAAGACTTGTGAAGCATTTCGTAACCCAAATGGCATTATCAAGTATTCAAACTAACCAGTAGAAGTAACGAACGCGGTTTTTTCTATTGAGTCTTCGTGAACCCTAATCTGGTGAAATCCAAATGCCATGTCAATAGTAGAGAATAAATTTGCTCTATATAACTTGTTTATTTGGTCACTAATTAGTGGAAGGGATAATTATCACGTCGCGTATTTCTGTTTAGTTCCATATAATCGACGCATATACAATCACTGATAGCAAACGGGGATGAGCTTTCATGAATCATTTTAGAGTCGAGTAGTTCTTTCATTTTTTCATTGATATTAATAAATTCAGCAGGAGATAATCTGTAGGGACGCCTATGGACCGGCTTATTTGGGTCAGTTAAATATATTTTCAAGACACCGGTATTAGCTTGTTTAGTTGACAATTTGTTGATGACGTGACCAGAATTGTTATTTGAAATATTTATTATTATTTCTTTATCATGGGCGGCTCAGTAAGTATCAATAGACTGCAAGCTAAATTCATATTACGTGTGCAAAGTTTACTAAGTTTGGCTTTAGAAACGGTCTGTTTATCACTGTTAACCCAGTAAAACCTCTTCACATAAATATTCGTCTGGCAATACTTGTAAAGTGATATCTAGCAGAAAATTTTGAACACAAACTAAACATTTTACTTGTAAAGAAGAAACTACTTGCTCTTGAAATTGTTAACCGTTCAATAGATTGCTTTGATTTTGTCTTATGAAAATACATTCCGATACCGAATCAACTCTTCTCCAAAGTATTGCGGGCAGCTCTGCAGCATAGGTTGAATTCTTTGCTGCTCAGAGTGTCCTGTTCTTTCCTCGTGTACCCCTTAAGGCAGGCGCTGGTGTAATGTATCGGCGGATGTAGCAGGATGTCTTCGTCTTTGCGGAATCTGATTTAATTGGCATGGATGCATTTTTATTAGTGAAGTGATTCTTATTTCGATGTCCCAATCTCCCAAAATTATGGCAAATACCTCTGAAGGTTGCAGAAGTACGCAATTTCTTAGAATCGTTATTACATCTCTTATGTGTAAAGCTCGTTAATTTTCGTAAGAGTTCGTGTTTGTCATTAATAAATACGAAGCTTATTGAGACAATATCGAGATTTCAATACCCGATATAATATCGTCGGGTAAATTAGCGTTAGGAATTTTTTCTATAACTTGGAATAGTCAGATGCCTGCTTTGGCTAGATTTTCCATGTTACCTAGGCAAAACTTAATGACCCGATCAAAGTAGTCTTGCATCATTATTGGTTTCGAGAAGTTTGAGATTAATATTTCCTTAATAGCATGTCAGGACAGTTTATCCGGCTGTACTTTAGTGAGACAGGTCAACACCTTCCATGGGTTTCTTTTAGATAATCATTTCACTTGAAGTACACTAGTTAGTTACGTCGAAATACGTTTAATCTGAATTCAAAGACACCACCTTTATGGGAGTAGATGAATTGACGGGACCCGGATTTATACTATCCAATATTCTGAACAATAGCTTTCATACCAGAAGAGAAAAGAGACATTTGCTGTTCTGCATAGTTAGCTGGTTTAGGTTTGTTTTGAAGTGGAAGGGGATCTGATCCCACTTCTGATGTAAGCTGAAAATCAGACATAATGAATAAAACGGGGTATTAAGATGTAGATCTTTGTATATTAATTATTTTAACAGGTTCACTGCGGTTACATTTTTGCCTGACCCAATTTACAACAGCATCGTGTCCTTAAGATCCTGTGCTTAACTTTTTTGAAGTGTGTGATCAGGTCGAAAAGATCCGTTAGACTTACTGTTGTAAAAATATGAGTATATATGTAAAAAACATATATTTACTTCAATTTTATATTTTAAATGTATTTTCAACAAAGTAATGAGTGTTCAGTTGAGTTCGTAAGTAGTACATTTTGTGTAGTTAAAAGTTTTAAGCGTCGGATATTTTCTACCTGGTAAATGGACTAATCGGTAATATTTATCAGGTAATTTTATTCAGGAAAATGACACAATATTCGAAGAATGTTTTTCGTTATAACATTCACGACACAATGTTTTCTTATAACTATCACACATAGTTTTATCATTTTTAACCTTATTGTTAGCTTTTTGACTGTTTAAAATTTTACGTAGTTTATCGTAGCAGCCAGAACAATTTCTTTTTTTTGCTACCCATTTTGAAACTATGGCCAGTATATGAGGCCGAGTTTAAATCATTTATTATAGCGATTTTTTTTTATTTTGCAGCGGTTTTCACGTAAGCTTTTCTATAACATAATCTGTAAATTCTTTTTTACTTATTTTTAAGGTATTTATGTTATAAGCGATCCAAGCATATGTTAAAGCTGTACCAAATAGCAGCTCTATCATGATTTTTCTGTACCAATTAATGCCTCGTTTTAAAGTATATATAAAAAACAGACATGTGAGCGCTAAAGTCAATTCTTTTTTTATAACTGTTGTAAGTCAGTACGTATTCAGGTTTCGATATGTCATCGTCTTTACCTCTTTATTTTTTTCCAGTACTTTTTAAAGAAGCATCGTGATTTTTACGCGTGTTCAATGTCAAGACAGGCTGTTTATCAAACCATTTTAATATGAAAACTCCTTTAGCATTCATTTTCCCGATAATTTGACCTTTCTTTAACTTTGTACTTATAACAGATTTTAGTAACCCCTTTCTATTAAAACGCAGAGTACCGAAAATAAATGTCTTATTCTTGATCAAAGTCTCAGAAAGCTCAAGCCCCGCCATGGCACTATGGTTTCATCAATGACCATAACTTTGACTGGATTTAAAAACATTTAAAATTGACTTATATGCTACGTCGCGTACGATATGCTATATCGTACGCTTTTCGTATTTTATAAAGCTTATCGTTGCCATTATTATCACTGTTACTGAAATGTCAGCAATTTAATATAATTAGAAACATATCTCTGCTTATCAATGACGCAATATATCCATTTTTGTAAATTTGCTTTTTTGACCAATTAACGTTTATATGTGGTACTTTGTTTAAACCCATAACCAGCATTTTACCTAAAAACTTATACATTTCGTCGTGATTTGTTGGTTTCCATAACTTGCATCGTGATTTGTCTGTAAGAAAGTTGGACTCTGTATATGTATTAGCAAATTTATTAGTTTCAACGGCCATTTTATCAACAATTTCATGTGTTAGAAACAATTTATAATATTTGTCTGGTTCACTAATATCAGAGGGTAAATATGTTTCTATGCTACCAGAATATTCTTGGAAACTAGAGGACGTTCTGTTTATATCTTCTCACTTTTCATCTGGATTACATGCACTTGCCAATGAATTTAAATGTTCAAGTTTAAGCTTTCATCATTTATAACTGAAGAAGAATATTCTAATGAAAAACACATGGATCTATTACCAGGAATATAAATTGAATCTAAATCACAATTATCGGTACATGCCCGCGTTTGAATTGTATTTATTATATTAATGGTTAAAGTTGAAGGTTGTATATAAGATGAAAAAGTATCATTTGATGTCGTCGTCTTAACTGCATTAGAATTGTTTGTTTTTGGTGAAGATGACTGAGGTGATAATAACAACGCGTAAAGCTGTTCCAGATTAAATGATGAGTTAATTGAGACTATGTATGATGTGGAAATATCGCTAAAAGACCCATATATTGGTATATCTGGTAATGAATGTGCTCACAAACTTACAAAACAAGTTAAGGTCTGTGGAGATACTTTCCTATTTAAAAACTATTGCTGTGACCTATAAAGACTACGAAATTATTGTTTAGAGATAGATGGTCAAAACATTGGAACAAAACCATAACGACAAAAGGCTGTCATTACGCCAAAACTCAACCCCTCATACCTTCTTAGCTTTGATTTTATAAATTAATCTTAAATAAGAAACATACATAAACGTTGTGTAGAATGTGCTTGGGTTACTGTTGTAATTCGGTTCACCTTACTAGGGTTCGTATTAAAAAATCTTCTATATGTGAGTGTGGTTTAGATATTGTTGACCTCAATCATAGTTTCTTCTTGTGTCCTTTATATGATCATACTTCATTATCATATTAACATAGTAAGGTGGCGTTTGCACACTAGCCTGTTCGGCAATATTAGAGAGTCCGACATTTTTTGTTATTATAATTGCCTATCCGATCGCTACCAGGGCGCAATGATATTGAAGAAGGTGAAACGCGGCGCTCGATATCGCGGTGTTACAAACAACTGCTCACTGTTGTTTCGAAGGAAGATAACAAAGCGTGGAGATTTCTTACCGTAGTAGGCGACGTCGTAGCAGTGGGTGGTGACTCGTAGCGCAGTTCGTAGCATGTTACGACAGGTGTGCCGTTATTGTGCTACGGCAAGTCAGTGGGCGAAGCTAAGGTTGCGGTACAATTACAGTCATAGTAGCCAGCGTAACCTACGCTTCACTTATGCACTCCTGGAATATCGTTCGATTTTACTAGTTTCAAACTATTGTAGTGTTGGGTGGTTCGGGGAATAAATAAAAATAAATAAAAATAAAATATAGTCTAGACTGTAGGCTTAATGCTAACTCTCTCTCTTATTCTATCCTACATATATATAAGCACACACTACACGTCCATCGGCAAAAAGAAAAGAAAATCATTCACAAAAATATTTTTTTTAAATGTAACATAACTTGGTTTATAAAAAAATAAAAAAACGTGTAGATTATTTTAAAATATTAAAATTCTTATACTATAACATACTTATATCATAATAAAAAAAATCGTAAACAGTAATTTTTAAATAATTTTATTTGTATTTATAGTAATAATAACAATTTTATTGTTTTATGTATGGTCTAGTGCGATTTTTATGTATTGACTTATGTTTACCTTTGCAATCTATTGTTACATTTGGTTCACAATCTTCGATAACCTTAAATGGTCCTATATAAAGAGGATCAAATTTGTTTACACATTGTTCAGTCTTAAGGAGTATCATATCACCGACATTATATTTAATTTGATTGGTATAGTAATCATACTTTGTTTTCCTACCTTGTTTGCTTAAAATTAAATTATTTCTTGCATCATATTGCGATTTTTGAAGTCTATATCTAAGTTGTTGTGGACAATCATATGGGTTATATAAGGGGTCTATATCTAAAGTTAAATTAGTTGGCAAACGGCAAAGCTTCCCAAAAACAAGCTCATATGGAGTATACTTGGTCTCCGTGTGTACACTGTTATTATAACCAAAACACCAATACGGTAACCAAGTGCTCCAGTTATGTGGTTCATTACCTGTTTGAATTCTGAGAAATGACATCAGATTTTTGTGGCTGTTTTCTAAGGAACCTATAGATTGGTGATGATATGCTGTTGACGTTACCTGTTGCATTTTGAGGATACGGCACACATCTTTCATGACGGCTGAAACAAATTCGGTCCCTTGGTCAGATATTATTTGTCGAGGAATACCATATCTCAAAATAAAATTATTGATAAAAGACGATGCCACTGAAATAGTATCCTTATGTTTAAGCGGATAGGCTTCAACATACTTACTTAAATCACACTGTAGTGTGAGTATATAAACATTACTATCACAATCTTTACATAAGGGCCCTACTAAATCTAAATAAACTCTATCAAAAGCAGAATATCCCGTATCGGTTATAACCATTGGTTATTTTATATGCTTATTTAAGTGCTTATATTGCAAACACTTGTCACATTGGTTTACATAATTAGTCACGTCCTTCTCTAACCCGGGCCAAAAGAATATTTTCTTTATATTGTTTATCATTCGCCTTATACCGGCGTGACCGCTAGTTGGCAATAAATGATAGTCGTTTAATATTATACGTTTTGTCTCATGATCGTCAACTTTATGGACACCATTTAAAATTAATATTCGCAGTCCGGACCTATTTGGTGTCTCGTTTATAATACGAGTTAACTCCTTAATTAAAATATTGTTATTATTATTTTGTATAATATACAGACGATCTATATTTCGCTTATTACAAAAGCAATCCAACTCCCTCAAAAAGGCATCTCGTGCACAATATGATCGGAAAGAAGGATATACATAAATTGTTGACTTTGAGATAAAACAAAATAACTTAGAGTTAGAATAGAACTTATCTTTCATTCTGTCTATCTTTTTCCATTCTTTTTCGTCTACAAATAATAATTCAGTTCAATCCTTCGGTTGTTTAAGTGTTCCCACGACTTTTGGGTGATCAGTCCAATCGTTGGTGGTAACCTCATCCTCCGTAGGGTTGTCACGCATATCTTGCGCAATTTCTTTTTATTCGCTTTCTTTGCGCTCTTGTTAGAACAGATATAACCTTTTCATTCATTTCTTTCAAATCTTCACTCGAAATTCGGAAGCGTGACAAAGTATCTGCAGCTGCATTGTCAGCTCGCTTTACATACCCGATAACAAACTTATACTCCTCAAGCAATAACCTAAACTTTGTAAGTCTACTTGACGTATTTGTCATGTTGAATAAATATACGAGAGGCTTATGATCCGTTTCAATAATGAATTCGCGTCCACATAAATAAGGCGAAAGTATTTTACTGCCCATACTATCGATAATAATTCCTTTTCGATAGTAAGATAGTTTTTCTCGGCTTTGTTTAAAGTGCGGCTACGAGTAGCATAATATGCAACCGGTCGTCCGTCATGATTACATAAAACGGAGTCTATAGCAAAACCAGACGCGTCAGTTTTTAAAATAAAACTTTGGTCAAAATTTGGATACTGAAATTGGGAGGAGTCGCGAAAGCATTTTTAAGCGTTGAAAAAGATAGTTTACAGTTTTATTTCAATGAAATTTAACATTTTTGCGACATAAATTGTTTAGAGGTAAAACGATTTCAGAAAATTTTGGTATAAATCTTCGATAGTATTCGCAAACGCTACTAGTCTTTTTACATCGTTGTTATTTTGAGGAATCGGGTAATTTTGTAATACTGATATCTTTTTTGGGTCAGGCTTAATACCTTCTGAAGAAACAATGCGGCCAAGATAAAGAAGTTATTTTTTTATAAAAACACATTTTTTCGGGTTTAACTTTAAGTTTACTTTTCTTAAGCGCGATAATATTTCTATAAAATTTTTATTATGATTATCTAAGTTTCTGCCAGTTGCTTGGTATTTTTTTTAGGTTGGTGACTCAGTAACTACTGTTGGTGGCATTCTTTGGAGGCCTATGTTCAGAACTGACTAGGTGACTCTCAAGTTCATTGCTGAACGTATGTCTAAAAATTGCTTAGTAAAAATATAATGCATTTGAAATCATTGAGTTTCGGCACTGATGGCCGCGGGTCGGCCCTCGGCCCGCACGAGATAAATATTTGTATGGCCTACAAATAATTGTTCAAGGTGTGGATGTTTGTCATCGTGCAATTTATGTAATATGTAAAATGCATCCATGAGGTCGTCTAAATAAGTGAGCGCTTTTTCGTAATTTAAACCAGCCATGGATATTGTAATAGCACGAGAAAAGGAACTTGGGCTTGTTTTTAAGCCTATTGGCATTCTGGTCATCTGATATTGACCATAGTGTGTAGTGATTTGGAATAGAGGATAGATGTAGATGTCTATGGGTCGCAGCAACCACTTACCATCAGGTGGACTGTGTGCTCGTTTGTCACCCTTATTCTATAAAAACACCTTCTACTAGATGGATTAAGGCTTAATTGGTAAAAAGCTTGATTGAGATCAAGGTGGGTTAAATACATTGCAGAACACAAACATTTGCTTTACAAGTACGCTACCAACGCTTTCAATTGATCCGCCTATCGAGTATATTATAGATAAGTATTTATCAATAAACATTATGTTAAATCTCATACCGAAACAGTTAATTTATCAAGTTTCTGATATCATCATATCCTGGACGGGCACATGGAAGATTACCTACTAAGTAACTACTGCAACCCACAAGTATTTTTTCTTCCCTGATGAAGTGTCACATAACCTATAATTATACTACATATCTTACCATTTTAAGAGGAACACAGAAGTTGTTATGATTCTTAAAGTCAGAAAAAGGTAAGAGTGCGCTATCCAAAGAAATGGATAATTTAATGGCCCAACCACCTTCATAAGCTTAGCATAACAAAGTGATTTATCATATTAAAGCATAAAATAAATATATTATAATGTAAAATGGTTCAAGAGATTTTGTGGATTTAAAAAGCGTTTTACATTACGGTAATGTTCGTTATATTGAAGCCAGGCAACTCACGTCAAAGGAGCGTTGTTACCAATTTTCTGCTTAAGTGACAAAGCTTTGATATTTAATATGAAGCCCATCAAAGGCGCAATATATATTCTTTTAAAATATCGTCATAATCGTCACCTTGCTAACGATCCCCGTAGGGGATAAATTTCTAGCAAAATATAATTCGCATTAATCGGAAAATTAAAGTCCTTCAAAACTATCTTAACCTCATCGCTTTTTACATGCATATGAGTTGATGAGTCATACATTTACTACAGTATCTCCATACGCACATATAACGCAATATTAATGTACTTGTATAATTATTGGGCTGTAGTTGTGAAGGCGCCCGAGTTATCACCTGTGTTGACGCGGTTGTTCGGCCTGTGCCTAAAAAGGGCAGCCAGCCGACCCTGCCAACTATCGGCCAATATCAATTACCCCCAGACTCTGCAAAATTATGCGAGCGTATATTGAATACTCGTCTCATGGCATACCTAGAGCAGAAAAATCTCCTCAGTGACCGGTATCGCCGAAAACTAGGGATCTACTAGCGTATGCCACTCACATTTAGGGTTTGGCACGCTAGCTTTTGGGCAAGCTTTCAGCGTACGGCTTATTTCCTGAGCCTGATTGACTGATGTCGGCCTTGCACCGACTAAATCCCCATGGTGTTGCTACTTCGCTGCATATTGGCAGGACCACGGAAACGCTTTCGCATACACCAGCGCCGGCCGCCCCATGTCAGCCCCTCCTGACCTCCCCTCCACATTCTCCTTCTCAGGTAAGGCGCACCAGGAACGCGAGGCACGTCCCCCTCCACGGCCTCCAACTCCACCTGCGTAAGCCCCCCCCCCCCCCCCCCCCCCCGAGTCCGATACGTGGAGGCCATGTAGCCAGGAAATTCAAGCGCTCAGTAGCACCCGCTCTTCCGACCCCAACGGCGGATCTGGTCACTGGTTCCAGAGACCAGATCCGTTAAATAAAGTATTTTTAATACTGCTGGACTGTGCAGTGGGACAGCATAATATGTGTGATCACTTTATTCGTCAGTGTAGAATATTTATTATTTTTTGAAAAGAGTTCTAGTTCCATTTTGATCTAGTGAATCTCTTTTGAAAATATAAAATAAAGACGCCTTGACCGTCTATGCCCTGACCCCGGCATTGAATTTTGCTCAGACCTACAATCGAAAAGTTTATGTGTTATAGTAAGTACTAAAGTCAGTTCACCCAGGCTTTTCTATCAGTTCTTAGAGAGACAGTATTCAACGTTGCAATTTATATTATATCATCATTTTGCCGAGTTGTTTAAAAGTGCACATTGTGCTTGATGTTGGAGTAAGTCAGTTGAAGGGTAAGCATAGTAATTATAATTCTAAATAATAACTTATAGCGATTCACAGCGCCACGAGCAAACACCAAGCTATGGTGCTGCTACCGATTCGACATAATATCCAGAAGGGCCAACAGTTTCTGCTTACGTTTGGGATTTCTTTGAATTCGTGCCTTCACAGCTTTTATCACTGCTGGAGTCCTAACAGACCGAGGGCGACCACTTCTTGACCTGTCATCTACACTAGAGTCTTCATTGTATCGTTTGATGGTACGATAAACGAATCTTTTGGTTATATTCAAATTTTTCAGTATGTCAAAAATTTGAATTGGCGCGTAACCGCAACGATGCAACGCAATAACTGCAACACAGTCTTCTTTAAGCGTCCACTCCATATTTAAAAATGAGTATTATTCTAAAAAGTATACAGTTTTATTTTTATGAACAATTTGAAATTCGTTTTGAATAAACTTTTTTGTGGCCAACATTCTAAAAGAAAAGTTTTTACTGTGTGACAATACTTATAACCTGACTCGGTATTATATTCCCTGTACCCTAGAATTATGTTACACGTAACGTTCACAATACACAGTAAAAGAAGCTTTCATAACGCTGTATTCTTGGGATCAATTAATTTCAAACCAAATAAGAAATCTACAGTCGCCTAATTGACTTAATTGGATCATCGCAACAACAGATTTACTAAGGGCGTATGTACCATATTAAAATCTCCTTGGTAACTAAGCCCGATAAGTAGGTTTAAGGCAGATAGGTAACTTT